GATCATATTATTATAATTCCAGGCAACATATATTTAAGTGGTGAACTTGACAGTGCACAGGTAAGTGCAAAACTACCTATCATCTTTTCTCCAGTGAAATGACCCACATGGCAGGCTATTATCACAGTATTACAAAACCACAAAAAGAGATGTGACAGCATGTTGGGACAACGGCGCAATAAGTAGCTGTTTGCACCGCATTGTAATGACAGAAGATCGCCTTTACTGCAAAAACACATTGTAGGAGTGCGATTGCTGCAAATAAAACAATAAGAGGTGATTCATTTGCCAATTCATAAATGATCAGCAGGTAAACTGTGCTCAGATTACCGTGGTGCAGTAAGATAATGACACAGAAACAGCTGAAAGCTGAGTCTAATGTTGAATTTCAGAGTATGCCAACCCCTCTTAAATGTGGAGCACAGAAACCGGTCTGAAGCAGTCTGCAGTGGAGAAGTGTTATTCATTCATTGTCCCTGTATTTCTTTGAAAAAATGGGGGCCTCTGCTGGAATTGAGTGGTACCACATGTTGTTTACCAACCCTTTCGCACCGCAGGACATCCCAATACAGTATTCAGTTGGGTCGTTTTATTTTGTAATTATGCAGCTGTCTCATCAAACATAATTTAATAAGTCACAAAAGCACTGCACTGTGCATGCTATGCTGACCTGACACCAGGGATTTGTGATGTCTAACTCCTCTCAGCATTGTGTATCACACAGCTCACTCAAATATTATTTTGGCTTGTTGGACTCACAAGTTGAATATTTGATCACTCGTCAGCCTTAAATATTGGCACACTACCATTCTATTTTCGGTCTGTCTATTGATTTGCTTGGTTAAACAGTGGGCCACATGCAAAAGGATAACATTCACAGAACATGTCAAAGACACCAAGGAGAGGTAAAGAGAAACTGGCCTAACTGCACACACAGTATGCATGGTAGCCAAGCATTACTGAAGCAACATTGATCGGATTTGTTAATGGCTGGATATAGGAAAGAGTGATTGATTTGACTGCCCCTGCATTAATGCTATTCACATCAAGCTATGTCCTGGTGGTCACACTGTTATTTGTTTTCTTGTGCCTTTATATTCTCCCGGAACTGCGTTGGGATGGTCTCTCTGTACACTACTGTGTATGTTTCCTTCTCCCAGGGCCCACATATAGACTTGTGAAAAGCTAGGTTATGCAACAGCCAGGCCACTTGAATAAACTGCCATTTACTAAGGGTGAATGGAGGAGTTAAGAATGGCGAGGGACCCATTGTCAGCTGTCATTGGTATGCAGAGTGCTGCAGCAAAACTATTAGGACCCTCAGCGGTTCTGATCAAAATCTGCTGCATCTTTACCCCCAATCTGTGGGGAGCCTTTTTCTCTATGTCGCACTCGAACTACTCCTGTCACAGAGACCAACAGAAACGTCCCAGTCACAAGGCCTGAGGTCCACCTATGCATGGCACATGGAGGACCAAAACATCCCTATCTACAATTAGAATGAAGCCAACTTTGATATGTTTTCAAAATCATGTGTTCAAAAGTACTAGGAGACCAATCTTGAGTAAACACTTCACTTGCAGCGTTGCAGGGAGGCCCTCAAATATGTTGTTGTACACCGGTGCAATGAAGCAATAACCAATGGTGGACAAATAGTAGATGACAACAAAATCATTAGTATTTTCTCAGGCACTACAAGTCAATGCTTTTATTCTCTCACAAAGCAATATTTAACATCCTTGTTAAAGTGTTCGAATAAGAACTTGACGCCCATTGTCAACTTAATCGACAGTGCATACAGATAAGCAATTGTTTTGGTTCAGTTTGGTCTAAACTCAAGGATTCACCCCAATTCGGTAAATCCTCCTTCTCCCTCCCAGACTCTCTTTAGAAGCGGAGTGAACTGGGTTAGGGTTATATAACCAATGTCTGCTCTCATAGATCCTCAGCAGCTCGTCTTCCCCTAATCTTTTCAGCTTGATTACACCCTCCATCCCCCTCCCCTGCCGACTCATTCAACTGAGAGTGTTCTCACACACAAGCACATCCACAGAGAAGCACATGAACAGAGCGTCGGGATCTGCCACACTCCGGTTTAGAGCGGATGGGATGCTTGAGATTGCAGGTGTGAGTGTGTGTATGTGGCTGTCAGTGTGCATCATTTTGTCATGACAAACAAGAAGACATGTGGTGGGTGCAGGTTAGCTGTGCATGTTCGACCAACCTTACGCCTGTAATTTCCAGACCTTTCCAGTTGTTGACACTGTCACGAAGCATCAAAAACAATTAATCTCAGACATTACTGCAGCTTGATATGTGTGTGAACATGAGCAATGTTAAAATCTGCACAAAGAAGTCAACAAAGAGACTGATAATATTTGATGTACCAAGAGCCATGTCAATGGTTTTGTAACACTGTGGTGCTGAGAGAAGAATGCTGATACTGAAAGTGTTCCTGCAATTCATATGGATGCAACATGCAAACAGAGTATTACAAAAGAGACAAACAGTGGTAGGGTCAACATGTACTACTGCTTGTTTACAGCATGTCTGTGCCCCTCGCTTCAGGTTTCTGACAAAAATGAAACACATTGCTCTGTTCTTATTGTTAACAAAGGTTAACGTTTTGCAGTCACAGTGAACATTTGATAGATACTGCGAAAAAAGATAAATCCAGGTCAAAGGCTTAGACAGTGTGTCTGTACAAAATGCAATTCATTACCCATCATTCGGCATGAACAAACAAGCTATCGAAGAACTGTAACTTTATTTTAGCGATAAGGAAGTCTGAATTCTTGCACTGTGGACAATAAAACAGGGGATGGAAAGGGTAAGTGAAAGTGTTCTTTTGACAGTCATAACAGCATGCTGACTTTGTTCTTATGCTTTTCCCACTTAAAGTTCTTATAAAAATGGATTTTAAAAGAGGTCTGAGGACACAGGGAGACATGGAGGTTCAAAGAGCAAAGGGTGCTTTCCATTTGGTCCCTTTTTTGTGACAAGTAAGCTTAACTGCAGCGGTAAACCATGACCCCTCTACCTGACCTTTGCTCACCCAAGAGCATAAACATGTAAATATTCTCCTCAGGACACAGCTTACCTACAAACCTGTTCACCTCCAGAAGGCAATAAATCTTCCAGCCTCCAGCTGGCTAAACATTTAATATGTTTTATGAGCATTCTTCAGTGGAGGCCAAGAGGCAGAAGATGCAGGAAGTCGGCATGTTTGACAGTGTCCCCATGGGAAATGTTTCGTGTAACGCAACATAAATCTGGAAGCAGTTGAAAGGTGGAGAGGCTGGGGGCTTATGTAGTTCTTATGTTTTACCCAAAAATATTAACTGTTCTGGTGCAGGCTTAATCAAAGAATATCCAATTATATGCTGCAGATATGTGACAGCCTCAGCATCTTGGCTGAGTTCCTCACCTGGCTCGTACAGTAACCAGCCTCAACCCACCATCTGCTGCTTCAAACTCTTTTACCTCATCATTACTGTAAACTTATGTAAAAATGCATCAGACAGCATTAGGAGCAGAATAGAGAAATGGGTCAAACACAATCTTGTTGTTTTCTGTAAAACAAAAGTAAACAGGATCTTTATATTGTCACAGCATCTTCTTACAAATAAATTCCTCTAAATCCCTATAGCCTTTCATTTTTTTGCACTGCCAATCAAGACTCAGTGAATGTAAAACTCATAATGCAACTCTAAATTTAAACTTCTATCAAAAAATCAACTGTGAAATTGAACATAAGGAGATTTTGGAGCCTCTCTGATTCCATTTTGTCATTTGCAAGCTGCCAGAGAAAGTAGGGCACCCCAGATCTGTGCCTTCCCCTGCCTCATGAGCACAAGGGAGCTTTATCAGCATTATGGATTTTCAAAATGATACACTCATCACTTTGATGTAATTAGTGGTATCAGCTGAGATTGCCAAACACACTCACATTTCCACACAGTGATATCATAAGATAAGATATAAAGAAAATGATGTAGATCACTGACATGTTTGATTTAGGTTTATCTTTCAACCTTCGATACACAATGCTTTGTGAAAACAGCAAACAATTTCTAATGACTTGTGCATCATTAGTCAATATGCAGTTTACAATGTCACCAGATTCAATATAATCTACTACACAATTAGTTATCTGACAGCCTAAACAATAGCCAACAGACGTTTGTTATGATCTAGTGACATCTACTGGCTTGATGTAAAACTCCACATTTTATATAACTTCACTGGAATTCATAGATGGAGCTCTGGCGCCCTCCAGTGGCAGCAACTTTAAACACACATAAGCATGTTGAGTTCTTTACTCAAGGCCATCTTGATATGATGAGTTAAAAGATGGTAGAGCATTTCTTGTTCACGTCTTCAGACCAGATTTTCAACCAGCCAGACGTAGATTTTCCGCAGTAGTAGCACAGAAAATATATCAGCGATGATTTTGATAAATGATTGTTTAAATCATTTGTCATCAAGAATGCAAACCGTTTGTTGGTTTTGGTTCACAAGTGAAGATTTGCTGCTTTTTTCTAATTTTTATAAACCAAACAATTAACCGGGGCTAACACATTTTTAGTTGCATCCGTAGATGTGACACTGGAAGGAGCCTTGCTTTGTGATGCTGGTTTGGTATGTAAAGATGTGCTGAAGCATAAATCCCCCAACTGTTACAGGTTACACCTTATTTCTGATACATTAAGGAAACATTATGTCTTGTTGTTTTTCTACAAACTGCTGTTAAAGAATCTTTATAGACTCCATCTTGGAGTAAACAATGTTTGTAAAGATGGTCCCAAAAACAACTGTTATCCTACAAGATCACACTGAACTTGTTTGAAATTTTAATATGTAACAAATCCAGTTGGACATTTTTATTCATTTCACTTCATGATGACACAAAATGCAATTTAGCAAGAACATGGTGTCATGCACGCATACATAATGAACAACCTCATGTTCTACTGAAAGAGCCTTTTTATTTATATCTTTTCAAGGATTCACATTTGGATTGGTTACTTTTAAAATAAACAAATTATAATCTTCACAAAAATATTCTATCCTTTACATTTTCCAGGTTTTTGTATAAGTGCTACACAAATTAAAATACACAGATAACACCGATACTTCACAACAAGGTGTTTGCATTTCCATGAGTCAGTTCTCTGAGCATGCAAAAATAAGCTCAGCACTCTAATTTGGCACGAGAGAGAGCTTTGACAGAAAAACTGGTCCCTTTGAGGAGCTGTATCACAAATAATGAAGGTTAATACTGTATAAGGAAATGCTCTGGTCACTGGGCTGTGTACCTGTATACAGGTGTTCACTCTCCTGCTGCTCCACATACATCTCTGAGATGAAACATTTAAGCCATTTGCATGCATTTGTTACATCCACAAAAAAAATTAAAAACTTGTTTGAAGCTTTCCTAACAATATGGAATAGAAATCCAGAGCCAAACAAAGGCTTTCTGAAGAAAAATGCTATTGTGCACTTTTATTATAGCCCTCGTTAGTTTGATCCTGATATCTCAGTCTAAGGCAACTTTCCTTTCAAAGGAAATCAGGGTTTGAATGTCTCTTTTGACCAGTCAAGTTCATAACTGACAAGAAGACATCACAGTGATGGGGAACAAATACTTTTTTTATGCAATCTGAATATCTAAACTCGGTCAGACTTCTTGGCTTGTCCATATTGTGTATACTAGGTCCAGTGGAGGTTAACTTTTGCTCAATATGAAGTTGAAGTTTGTCACACATTAAAAATGAGAATTCAATACTGTGAAATTCACACGTTCACATTTGTAAAACATGAACTGAAGTTCAATAAATTCATTCATTTATGACTAATTTCCATGGTTTACAGTAACGTAAGTCCCTGTTTCACCTGAATCTTGACCTAAACTGCATTACATAAATTACTGAAAATATCAAGATGAATGTGACCTTAAAACTGTGATTTGAGTTGAATGTGGTGAGAAACATAATATTCACAGTGTTAGTGTGATGGCAGAAGTCTGTCAGACTATAGAAACATTACACACATTTGCATGTAAATATATTGTAACTACATATGCACCATTGTATTGGCTGTAGACAAGCAGTGTGTGATCACTCCCTTGTGAAAAACTGTAAATGCCAAGAATTTAACCTCAGGTGAGAGAATATTGCTTTGGGACCCCGGTGACCTATAATATTTTATGCCCCCAAAACAAGTTCAGCACTAAGAATGGCACACAAAATGCCAAATGTCACCACAAACGTACCTGTACAGTTCAACTCTGGTTTTCACTAACAACCTTTCACATCTAATCTTTAAGTTTTTAAGAACAATTCAACAATCACATTCTTCGGGCGAGCCCTCTCGAATCACTGCTGACAGCTGAGGTTTCCACAAACCAGCGTAACAGTGAAAGATAAATGTTAATGGTTTTCAGACTCTTAGTTTGATTTCTACATGAAAACTCTCCATAATGCCCCACGTTAAGAACAAAGACCTGTAGGAAAACAGCACAAGAGAGGTAGGAATTTGAATTCCAAAACCTATGATCCACAAATACTTGGATGTTTCATTAACTTTGCATGCTTATTACCAGTTGGCTGCACAGCAAGAAAATCTAAAGCATACGGCTGACAACTTGTCACGACCAGAAATATGGCACTACGTAAACTAGAGGACACAACCACACTCAGCAAGCCCTCAACCCAGAAGGCTATTTACACTGCTAGAACTCCGGCCTTGGAAGAGTTTCTGTGCTGCTAGGTGACCACTTCTTCACGTGGCAGGTTAAGCCTCACTTCCCCTCCTGCTGCTGTGGAGGCTGAGTAGACTGCGGTGGCGCAAACAGAAGAAGGGCCGTTGGTCTCCAGGGTGAAGAGCTTACAGGGCCCTGGTAGGGCCGCATCAGGAACCTCCTTTTCTGGGCTGGACACTTGGGACGATCCAGGAGAGGATGTGGGGCTGAGCTGCACAGCTGTGGTATCCTGCAGTGTGTGCTCGCTGGTCTCTATTTCAAATGCTGCTCCACCGGCCAGCCCGCCGTGTCCCATCATCCCCGTGCCCCTGCCGCCCACCTTAGACCTCCGTGAGCTGTGGGGAGGTGGGAGCCGGCTGCACACGCAACAGGCCCCGAAAAAGGAAAAGGCAACCAGCAGTAGAATAGGTCCGATGATGATCGGGGGATTGGCAGAAGGCACCAGTGTGCTGAAGGCGAACGCTCCCACCAGGGTGATGTTGAGTCCAGCCAGCATGATGCATAGGCCACAGGCACAGCAGAGTGCCGGAGAGGGCAGGCCATGAGGGCGAGACTTTCTTCTCGTCTTCTTCTGAGGGTCCTTTTTAGGAACAGGGGTGCTGGTGTTTCTGTCAGTGATGACCATGTCTTCACCTCTGGGCTCTCTCTCTCTCTTACACTGTGATATCAAATCTCCCCGTGTCTCAGTCCAAACTCTTCTCCATGGCAACGTTTAAATAAATTCACAACCAGGAGACGTCTTTGTCTGTAAACGACAATACATGGCAGCATGTAAGAGTTTTTATTTTAGATTCACACAAAGAAAAAAAACTCTTGCCTACTGATAAGTGCACTTATTACACTGCTCTTGTTCTGCACTAGTATCAGTGGACAGCTTGTGAATAATCATGGTGGGCATAGTGAAGTGTCCTTCCTGAGAGAGTCTGTGTAATCCATCAATGAGCTCTAAACATTCATCATTCTGCCCTGCTACTCCTATAAATTACAAATATCAGTAGAGGTTGTGGACTGACATATATATGATAAATATCTGATAGCCTACAAGTAAAATATACTGGGCACTACTACTGTAGTCACTAGAGGATAGTCACAGATCTGTGGAAGGACTACTGAGAATAGGTCCAATATTGAAATCTTGGATCTCAAAATGAACTAAACTAAACTTTTAAGAATATATTCTTGCTGGGTTTGGTCAAAACTGAAGTTGTCTATGTAAAACAACACATAATGTAGGTATGGTAGAGAAACATAAAGTAAACATTGAAGTAAACATTGAAATAAACAACAATAGTGCAACAGTTGAGGGGTATTTGTTGCACAATTAATGGGCAATGTGACTATTCATACTGTTGAATAATTACACGATAACCAAGCCTCAGTATAAAATGAGATGCATGCACCCTGTGACTCTTGTATCACCATTTTTTTGGTGAAGTCCTAAGCTCCTTAATAATGTAACATGATTAATCAGAATCGCTATTTATTGTATCTTGTTGTGTGAAACAAAATGTGTGCAATCGCACTGCAGCTGCCTCATTCGTGCCAGCTAGGCCACTGGGGGAACGCATTTCAGTATTTAGTTGCAAATCAAATCAGCCTTTTCATTCCAGCATGCAGCCTCCATTCAAAAGGATACAGTGCAAATGAAGACAGGGGATGTGGGGAAGGGATCATTTATTTAGTAAATGTGTTCATCAGTAAATCTATGACCCTAAATATATAAAGTGTAGGCTGCATTTAAGTGTGAACTGGGTATTGCTAAGATCATATTTATATAGCACACATGCTTACTCCACTGGTGTGTTGCATTCCTGTGAAATGAACCCGCAGAAATGAGAAATAAAAATGATCTTACCCTTTATGTCGATGCACTGAAGGTCTTCCCATTGTTTCATCTGGAGATTTTCACCGAGATTCCCAGTCTAATTACCGGGTGTAATTACTGAGAGGTTGAAAGGACGCATAAACACCAAACGAGGGATTTTCATCCTGCTTTCGTAGCTTTACAGTCCTGAGGGCACAAGTCATGACAGCCATTCAATCAGTGGCCACGGAAACACAAAAACGAGGCGATCCGACCCCGCTAAAGGAAGATTAAATCCAAAGGGGAGAGGGAAGACCATTTAGGTGAGATGGCATTTCCTCTGAGACGCAACACCGCGCGCCGCTCCTGATGTGGACCGAGAGACGCACGTAGCACCTGACAGGTCGTCCTGCAGCGGAAATGGAGGGAAAACGCTTCTATATGCGAGGCATCTCTCCCACAGTCGGTTCCCGGTCGTCCTATTTCATTAATTCATATTTGATCTGCCGCGCAGAGCCTCGTCCCTCCTCTGGATGCGACTGTCCTGCCTCCTCCTCAGCGGTCCATCCTTTACCAGCTCAACCTGGTGTGTGTGTGTGTGTGCGTTGCCTGTAGCTCGTCAGCTCACCTTTGTTCACTTGTTGCTGATTTTTCAAGAGGATCGTGCAATATTTTGTATTATTTCACCATTTATTTAGAAATTTTAATTAAAAGTTGAAGTGTCTCTTCAGTTACCTTGTTATGGAGCTTTAAGCCCTTAAATAATATGATTCAAACATGATTTGTAATATGGCACTCTTTATAAAGTTGTAACTAATGGCTTAGTTAATGGTTATCATTACAACATAATCAATTATAAGTCATTAATTAGAACAACCTGGGTTGCCAGGCTGTGAAAACTCTCTGGCTCTTGAGTCATTAACAAAGAGTCATGAATTTGTAATGCTCCAATAATTTAACAGGTTTAGGTTACCAATATTAGTAAGTTAATAATAAGGAGTCACTTAATAAGACAACAACACAGGTTAGTAAGACGTCTGTAATTGAATGTTAATAAATCATTTATAAAGGGTTCAGAAGGCCTGAGGTCAAACAGTCCATTAAAAAGAAATGAGACAGCAGATGTTAATGGTTGGGAACTGTTTATAAAGCATCAGTAAACCATTAATACATTCTAACTGATGAAAAAATGTGTAAAGATCATAAATCCTTTTGAGACGTTGCTGTATTAGAAATAGGAACCAATATTATCTTAAAAGCTGAGAGAAAAAGTTCCTTCTTGACCTTGCAAATAGTTGACAAAATAATTATATGTGGTTGGACACATTAAGGGGTCATTTGGGTAATTTTTTGTGATTTGGGTGAACTGACCTGACTTTAAGTGTTCGCAGTTCTGGTTTTAAGGTGTGGCCCGGGGTGTTTCACGGTATCTGGGTGATGTGCAATTAAGAGTCCCTCCATTGTCAGTTCTTAATACAGACACAGAGGGACGGTGGGATTGTGATCCGAGGCCTGACAGTCAGACTGCCTGTTGTCATCTAGGTGCTGCAGACTCCTTGGGCTCCTGTTGCTTACATTATTCAACCTCACAGCATGTCACAGTTTTTGTCAGAGAACAGCGTTCTTCCCCACGCCACTTCCCATGCAGCAGCCATTCTGCCTGTGCTCTCCTGAATATTAATGTATTATGTTTCACTGCGGGGGTGCAGTTCACTGTATGCAGGCAGTGGAAGTAGCTATTTGTCCCTGTGTTTGTGTGTGTGTGTATCTGTACGCATGCATATACTCCAATTTGTTTTGCTCATGACATACACAAGCAGGGAAGCTTGAGCTGAATCGTATACGAGTCCCTTTATCATGTTACGACCATAATAATATCTTAATTGCTGGCTGTTGTGCCATGATGAGTTGAGCTGCACACAAGTGGGACCACTGGGCTTAATTTGCTTCACTCGCTGTCAGGAAGTATGAAAATACTTCACTAGCAATTACAACTGAATCTTTGGAGATGTTTATTAGACTACATAAGTAGAACATTATGAGGTGAGTTCAGCAGATACAACAACAAGAAACCTTGTGAAGAAGATCAGTTGAATAACATTGGTCAGTCAGGTCATGTGATGACGTCAAGGCAGGTCTTGATCCGTAGGCGACTGCTTGAGTTTCCGTCTAGATAAGATGTCTGGCATGTCTGTAGATGTCCTGCAACACACCACAGCATGAGACACATAAGCAAGGGATGTTGTATCGTGTGTTTGTCTGATTAAGTTGAACTAAAACATCTTGTGGACAGAATTGAAAATTATCTGTTTAGAGGCATCTGTTTACAATGTCTTCCTTCCATTTGTGACAACCTATATTACTTGACTCCCATAAGTTGTGGAAAATTTAAGAGTAATATAAAGAGTAGAGGAAATTACCTCTTTGGATAATTTTCTGATGCTGATACAGACAGTAAGATAACTAACATTAACATTGCAATAAATGTGACCTTGATTTTCTAGATTTAAAGGACCAGTGTGGTAGATTTAGTGGCATCTAGTGGTGATGTTGCAGACTGCAACCTTCCAAGCGTGTAGGAGAAACTACAGTGGCCGCAAACGCCCTATCTCTTTTCTATTCTTCTATCTCTCTTTTTTTTATTCCGGACTACAGTAGAAACATGGCAGATAAAAATGGCTTATTTTTAGGTGATTATACACTAATGAAAACATAGTTATGATTATTCCATTTCTACCAATAGATCCTCCTAAATGTTACACTAAGGATCCTTTATTATTATTTTTCACATATCACTCACAGGTTTGTAAAAATGCTTACCTTTGAAGGAAAATATATCTACAAGCTTAGTGTGACATGGGTCAACACATAGAGTTGATGGATGATCTGATCTGACATAACTGAAATCTATCCAGTATCTGGGTTTCCACAGCAAAAACATCCAAAGTGACTGACTATGAAAAGAGGGTAATACCTTTTAATGTTCCCTTTTGAAAGTCACCATTTCAAATCTAAATAGTTTGGACAGGCAACAAAAAAGCATGTTTTCATGTAGATGTTTTGTTGACAACTTTGCTATGATAAAAGCAAACAAAAGTTTTCTACCAACCTGTCCTCATATTATCAGCAACAAACTAACAGTGCAGTACATAAGATCACTTCTTGATGTAGCATGACTTAATGAATCATCTCCTTTATATTAAGTGATCAGTCATTTGTTCCCAAATCAGTGCAACATAGAATATGATAAATTAGCCTTCAAATCACGTAGAGTTTAGATTTACTGTCTCTATTTTATACGTTTATTGTTATGCACCAATTCACCACGGCAAATTCTTTGCATGTGAGCCTACTTGGCAATAAAACCGATTCTCATTCTGATATCAATATCATCATATCGGCCCTTGCCTTGCAGTGACTGCCTCAAACCCAAAATGAACTTCATGAGATGAAAGCAGACACACATCTAAAAACTGAAGGTCAAATCATTGCACTGCTTCGAGTCTCTGTCTGGCAGGGCATCGTAACCTTATAACATTATCCTCAAAGATCTCTGTGTTCCTACAGTAAGTAGAAGGGATTGTTCCACTCAATGAGTCCAGTGTTAACACACAGCTTTATGGACTATGTGGAAAATGTGTCATTAAAAGTCTTTGAAGTTTTAGTTAATTAATCTCTGGGCATTTACATAAGAATTTGTGATGCATCCACAAACATTCTTGCAGTATTTGTTGACAGATGACATAGATTAGTGTGTAAAAATAGTATAGCTTTATAATAATGAGGGCAAATCAAGAGTTGTTTGGAATCTGGGTCAATTTACTCATCTATTGCAGGAGGTTTTGAGACACACTATTCTTTTTATATGTCACTGCAATGATTAAAATTTGGTTAGGTTGAGGATCTTGAAATAAGAATTCCAG